CTGTTGCCAGCCAGTGACCTGCTTTTGCATTCTCCTGGTGCCCAATGCCCCTTGTTTCTGAGAGACACAAACTATTCCCTAGCTGGCAGTTGACCTGCCTGAGCCAATGTGTCTATCTGTGGTAACTGGATGAACTATAATAAAGGGATCATTTGACCCTGTCTATTCCGCCGTGTTACTTGTCTTCATGTGGATTTTAATGAAGCCTTGATGTGGGATGTGAGGCAGGGGTGTAGGGTTGGGTGGAGTGGATCTGTGATGCCCCAAACTCTATGTGATCCTTTCCTCGAAGCAGTCTTGAGAGGGCTATGAAGTAAATGCCACAGCTACCAGTTAAGAAGAAGAAACAGATGTGGCCTCTAACAGTGAGTGAGGGTAATGGTCTGGGTCGTTCATGGCCGGCAATGGTAGGACTGGAACACAGGCCCTCAGCTTCCATGGTGGATCAGCTGAAGCTAATTCAGCACCTCAGCACAGGTTCTTGAGATCTATAGTTGTTGCAGGGTGATAACAATTATTCCAGTATGCCGAGTCTTTGCCAAAGGTGTGCCCCATTAGGAGTGCTGTCCAGATCCTCTGTGCTGGTCACCCCTCAAGATACCTCTCTAGTAGCTATGATGCCGTAGCACACTCCTTTAATCCCAGTATTTAAGAGGCAGAGGCAGGCAGATTTCTGAGTTCCAGACCATCCAGAGTTACATCATCATCATCATCATCATCATCATCATCATCATTATCATCATCATCATAAAATTTAAAAAAAATTCTCCAAACGATCACTTCAATTACATGGCTTTCCTGCTTAGAGTTTGGCTTAGATCCTCCAGCTTCCTCGTTTTTAGCCTCTAATTTTCTGCATTCCTGTTTGTCTCAAATGCATAGCTGTCTTTTAGAACAAGTGTGGTAAATAGTATTATTAAGTGCCTGAATTCTGAACAGGTACGCGGGGTTGTTAGCCAATCACAATTATGTGGGTCCTGTAGCAAGCTCTAGGGAATGTACAAAGTACCTGGCGCTCCAGTGACTACAACTCCCAGAAGGCAGAGAGTTAGACTACGACTCCCAGAAGGCCATGCGATCACGTAACTTTCTCGCGTGCCATTTGGAGACGGAGGGTAAGGGCTCCTAGATACCGCGATACTTGGGAGAAGCTGGAGCCGGTGAGCCGTGGAAGGTGCTGGAAATCTGTATCCCTGGGTCCCGCATTGGTGTGGCGGTGGGAGACACCCCTCTGACTATGGGTCCGAGTGAGGGTCTTCGTATTATGTGTGTGATGTGGTGCCACGGGTTTGATTTCGAGTTCAGAGTTGGGGGTTAGCAGCTGCACCTGTGCCCGCTGACTTTATGCTCTATCCTTGACCAGAGTTGATCAGTTTAAAGGCGGCGCAGTAAGAACACCCACACTTGACGCTTGCCTTTGAAAAACTGCAGCATAAGCTGCCGCCAAAGAGATCTAGGAGCGTCCCGAAGTGCAAGGCTTTTTAAAAATGACATTTGTTTTGAAGGAGGGTTGCTATCACGGCGTGCTTGTGGAGGTCATAGGACAACTTGCGGGACTCAGTTCCACCTTGTAAGTCCCGTCATTTATATCCAGGGCCTCAGGTTTGGCTGCAAGCTACCTCACTGAACCAACTTGCCTCAAACTGTATTTTAAATTAATAAACTAGAGAAAGGAAAGCCCTGAGAGTGTTTAGCTGCTTAATCCCTAAACGTGCCAAGTGGCATTTAAAAATTAGAGGGCAGTTTTTGTCCGATAAAAAAAAAAATTCCTGATCACTGACCATTGGAATATTGGAAGCCAGAACTAGAAAATGGGCAGGAGAGATTCCCAGCTTCAGGAAGTGGTGGATGCTTGGGAGCTGGTTTCTCTCCGATGTGTGTCTTGTGTCCTCAAGAGGTACCCAAATGGAACTGCAGGAGCTTTAGAGCCAAACATGTCTCCTTCTGGTTTGAGGGAAGTCCATTAGAATGCCAAGGCTTTTGACTGAGCGAACATTCCTTGCTCTTCCTACTGTCATAAGATGGGTTTAGGTGCCGGGTAGCATGGGTTTTGGTGTAGGGTGGTGACATTTTCCTGGCTACATTTTTACCCATTTTGTTATTGGCAGATATCCATGAAACTTTAAACTTTGAGCTTGACTAAATGAGAGGAGACTTACATGTCACACAGAGGTTTACCCCCCCCCCCCCCCCCCCCCCCGTGTGTGTGCGCACACTCTCTCATGGTCTTAAGTTCCTTTTTTTTCTTTTTCTGTCTTCAAGACAGGGTCTCTCTCTTTATCCCTGGCTAGCCCAGAATGCACTATGTAGACCACACTGATCTTGAACTCATGGAAATCTGTCTGCTTCTTCACAAGTGCCAGGATTAAAGTCATGTGGCATCAAACTCCACTTTTTGTTGAATATGCATAAAAGTAAGTGTAAGTTCCTGCCACGTTCTGTGGTTATAATACAGGTCAAGTAAAAATATAAAAAAGTGTTTATGCATATGCCGCTTAAAATAAAAGCTGGTCTAGCAGTAAGCTGTAGCCAGCACATTGGTAATAGAGGCGTCTCCCTGAACCTCTACCTCAGCCTATGAAGGGTGGAAAGAAAAATTTACCCTAAGTTCAAGGATAGCCAAGAGTAACTCAAGTTGGACTCTAGAGGTTTAAGCAGAACATTGAACCGTATGACAAAACAAGCTTGTCTTTTGAGTTTTTTCTCAGGAGGGTAAGTGGTGGTGGGAGAGAATTAGATATAATGTTCAGCTCCTGGACATGTCTGAACAAGCATGATACATAGGTCAGGAAACACAGACATTCACCGACTTGTCTATTCAAACCAGTGAACTCTGTATTTAGGACGGAGGGTTAGCTATCCCAGAGCCAAAGGATGTGTGCGGGAAAACTTGTGCTCCGAAGCCTCAGAAGGTACATCACCAAGCAGCTAGGAAGACATACAAAAGGATCCATTTTAAAGTGTAGAAAAGAGTTACTCTTGTTGCTGTGTTTCAGGGGTTACGTTTGTTATGTAAGCGAAGGATTTTTCCCTCTTTCTGAAGGGTAGAGAAAGTGCAGGTTTCTGGCTGTGGTTCTCCTGCTTGGCTGACCGCCCTGGTCCCTGAGCTCAGCCTGTTAGTAGTGACCTGCTGCCTGCTTGTCCTCTCTTCTCTGCTGCTCACAGTTCTTATGAGTGGCAGGAGATAGGGAAGTAAGGTGCTGCCTGTAGTCACCCCAACTGTCGATGAATAAAAATTTAAAAAGTCTTTAATAGAATCTGGGTGGAGGAAGAGATTTAATTGGCTGAGAATTTGATCTTAGCAAACCCTTGCCAACTGTCACTCTCCCTGGGACCCTCAGTTTGAACATATTTGACCTTGTTTCCAAATATCGGTTAAATAATCTAGTTTCTATTCTTCAATTATAAATCAGTCTTTCTCCTCCTCCGCCTCCCCTGTACCCCCAGAAGAATGGCTTTGGTCCTGAGCAAAGCTTGGCTAGCAGATAAAGCAGTGTATCTTGGACCACAGTGCCTGTTATGGGGAACAGTTGGATGAGCAGTGCAGAGTTCTGCCTCTAGTTTAATTGACAGCTTTGTGGAACATGACCCTTGGGAATTTTATCTTCTTGAGGTTCACAAACTGCAGAGACGAAATTGTGCTTCTGTCTTGTAGGACTCTTCCTGTTCTTGTGCCATTTGGCTGAAGTAGGACGGGGTCAGGGTTTGAGGACTGACAGGTAAGTTTTGCTGGAGAATCAAGAACATGCTTCTCATGGAACTGGGCTCCTGTAGAGGACCTGAGTTCCATTCCTATCACCTGTGTGCACACCCATGCCAGGCAGCTCAGAACTGCCCAAATCCAAGGTGATTGGATGCCCCTGGCCTCTGCGAGCATCTGCACTCAAATGTACATAGTTACATATGTCCATAAAATTAAAAATAATTAGCAACAACAAAAAACCAAATGTGTCTCTCACCCGCTGGTGATGTGTTTTGGGGAGCTGGCTAGTGGGTCCCATGGACTTTGTCAGTTATCAACAGTGTGCGCAGACTTTTTGGTGGACTCATTTCTCTAACAAGCCTGGTCCTGGTTGAGGTTCCAAATTACAGAAAAGATTCAAAGTGCTGTCAGCAGGGGGTGGGAATGGAGGGCTCAGTGTTGTCCTCCTAGCCTGAGGAAGCTCTGTTTCCTCGGACTCTTTCAAAGCTACAGCAGGAACTTTTCAAAAAACTTCAAAAAACTCAAGATTCAAGGGTTCAGGTGGAATCCTGCTCCCCAGAGGCTGAATAGCAAGCAGCTCACCTCATGTCTCCCAAGTTCTCTCACTCCTTCTCACGCCTCCTAACACCTCCTTATAAACCCTTTTCCACCTGGCTCCTTCCTACAACTTCCTGTCAGCTAGTTGCTGATATAGCCTCCTGACCGCAGGTGAATTTTATTTAATCAGACAAATCTTTCATCATTAAACATGTGTTCCAGAGCATAAACAAAAGTAACACAACTTAAAATAATATTCTACAACAGCTTGGTGATTAAGAGAGTATATACTTCTCTTGCAGAGGACCTGGGTTCGATTCCCTAGACCCACATGGCAACTCATAACCATGTGTAACTCCAGTTCCAGGGAATCTGACATGCTCTTCTGGCCTCTGTGGGCACTGTACACAACTGATGCACAGACATACGTGCAATCAGAATACCTGATGGTAACACATAAAACATACATAAACAGTAAATATGTAAATAAAGCAAATCTTTAAAAAGTGCTGGCAGGTAGGGAACCAGCCTGTGCTTAATCCTTTTGAAAAGAGTAACTCAGCTTTTATGGGTATAATTCTGAATGGTTTAGGCAAATGCCAAACTGGTGCCTGTGGGTATCCCAGGCATGGAGGGACCTGGAGCTACTAGGTTCTCCCTCCATGCCGATCTTGACCTTTTGGAGTACATCTAGGGTTTTCTGTCTCGTAAAAAGAGCCACTTATCTCTGTCTTTTGCATTGACACAGGCTGTACTGGAGGACGCTTCAGAAATCAGCTGTCCCTAGCCCTATGTCTTTCGTATAAACAGAGTTTTGAGGAGGGGATGGTTCTGGTCCAAGGCCATACACTGGGTCAGGAGTGCAACCTGGTGCAGGACCCAAGACTCCTGCTTCACAGGGCAGGTCTCTGCATGTAATGTATTCACTCAGCAGATACTGAAGACTGTGAAAGTGAGGGGAGTGGTCTGCTCATACTTAGGGAAACTGTTGGTAGGGGAGAGGCAAAGGAAACTGATGTATACATCGAGTGAGAAATCATTGGATAGGTTCACTCTAGAAAAGCGCCAGCTCGAGCTCGTCCAGAGTCTCTAAAGGCAGCTGCCCTCCACCCATCTCTGCCCAGAGTCAGCCCTCAGTGGCGGTGGCTGACGGAGTGGGGTGTGCTGGGCCAGCCGCCAGGGCAGAGGCTTCAGTGTGTGCAGCAGCCCAGCATCACAAGCACCTGCCAGAGGAGGACCCCAGCCAGCTGCTCCCACGGAGTGCTCTGCCTCTTTGTGTTTGGCTCGTAGAAATCAATCTGCAGGTTGTCACTCAGCCTGGTCCACAAATATGGGACAGGATTCCAGAACAAGTCTCTTGGCTGCAGAAGCACCCTTCTTGCCTATGGTTCCGCTCACCAGCATCTTTGGACCTCATCCTTTCCACTCTCTTCAGCAGCCTGCCAGGCCCACTGTAGTAACTCCCCACTCTCCACCACTAGCCATGGTTCCCTCCACACATTGCCAGCTCCATTGCCATCTTTCTCATAGCAAAGCGCCAGGTTCTCACCACCCTTGACATTCTGGCCCAGATCTGATCATGCAGCCCGCCTGGTCCTTCCTAACCTCCTCATAACTCTTCAGCTTCTCTCTTAACCTATACCTTCTTCCCCAGACCCTCCTTTCTCCTTCAGACCTCTTCACTTGGCAGGGTTATTCCTTCTGAAGTAATTTCTTTCTGTCTGAGAAAATGCTTGTTGTTCAGGAATCAGCCTGAATGACATCTTTATGTGACATAATCTCTGGCACAGTCACTGGGCAGCTATGGCACAGGTATAGCGCATCCAGCATTGTATGGAGAGGAGGCCTGATTTGATCATCACACACTTTCTCCCAGAAGCTGGGAGATGGTCGAGGACATAGCACAAGCTGCTTGTTGTATGACTGTGTGAACAGAAAGGATGCCCTTTATTTTGTTTTAGATTCTAAACCTGGGCTTTCTAGGCTCCCAGAAAGCCACCAGATGCCACATGGAACCAAGGGCCCCATGCCCAGCTGCCATACCCTCAGTGGAGAGAAAGTTCCGTGTTCTCGTGGGGGTCACTGGAAGCGTTGCTGCTCTGAAGCTGCCCTTCCTGGTGTCAAAGCTTCTGGACGTCCCCGGGGTGAGTGTCTTCTCAAGGCAGGCGTAGTGGCTTCTGGCGCTAGGGAGTCAGTGCTCCCGGGCCAACACACTGCTGCAGTAATTGGGATGTTCTTTTCCTAGTCCTGGGGTGTGCTGGTGGTCGGGACACACAGGAGATGGGCATGTACAAGGTAAGCAGAAGGTAGATTAAATGAGATAGTGGGGGTAGAGCATGAGAAGACAGCGAAAGGGCGCCGTGAGTGGAGAGTTTGGATCCCATACACTGACCCTGAGGAGTCCTGTTGTCCTGTGGTAGGAAGGTGCTCTGGAGAAGGGCAGAGAGTCTCAGTGCTCCCTGCTCCCATTTTCTTTTTCTTTTTTTTTTAATTGAGCTATTTATTTTTTTTCCACTCCTCTCCCTTCCTCTCCCCTCTCCTTTTACCCTCTCCCATGCTCCCCAGGCTCCCAATTTACTCAGGAGATCTTGTCTTTGTCTATTTCCCATGTAGATTAGATCATTAGATCTCTTAGGGTCCTCATTGTTGTCTAGGTTCTCTGGGGTTATGGACTATAGGCTGGTTTTTCTTTGCTTTATGTCTGAAAGCCACTTATGAGTGAGTACATGTGATAATTGTCTTTCTAGGTCAGGGTCACCTCACTCAATATGATGTTTTTAGATCCATCCATTTCCTCTGTGTAGTGTTCCATTGTGTAAATGGATCACATTTTTCTTAACCATTCTTCGGTTGAGGGGCTTTTAGGTTGCTTCCAGGTTCTGGCTATGACAAATTCTGCTGTTGTGAACATAGTTGAGTACATATCTTTGTGGTATGATTGAGCATCCTTTGGGTATGAACTCAAAAGTGGTATTGCTGGGTCTTGAGGTCAGCTGTTTCCTAATTTTCTGAGGAATTGCTGCACTGATTTCCAAAGTGGCTGTACAAGTTTGCACTCCCACCAGCAATGCAGGAGTGTTCCCTTTACCCCATAGCCTCTCCAGCATAAGTTGTCATCAGAATTTTTGATCTTGGCCATTCTTACAGATGTAAGGTGGATTCTCAGAGTTGTTTTGATTTGCATTTCTCTGGTGGCTAAGGTTGTTGGGCATTTCCTTAAGTGTCTTTCAGCCATTTTAGATTCCTCTGTTGAGAGTTCTCTGTTTAGGTCTGTACCCCCCTTTTAAAATTGGATTATTTGTTCTTTGATGATCAGTTTCTTTAGTTCTTTGTATATTTTAGAGATCAACCTCTGTCTGATGTGGGGCTGGTGAAAGTCTTTTTCCATTCTGTAGGCTGCCATTTTGTCTTATTGACTATGTTCTTTGCTTTATAGAAGGTCCCATTTATTGTTTCTCTCAGTGTCTGTGCTGCTGGGGTTCTATTTAGGAAATGGTCTCCTGTGCCGATGTGTTCAAATGTACTTCCCATTTTCTCTTTTATGTTGCTCCCATTTTTATTCCTCCCTGAACTCCTGGGCTTTGCTCTTCACCATGTCAGACGCGCTGTTTGTCCTTCAAACACAGAAAGCCTCAGGGGCCGTTCATTGCCTGAACTTCTTGTTTTGAACCTCGTTCCCTCCGGGTGCTCAGAGATAGTGTGATAGAGCGGGAGATTTTTCTCCCTCTGTTCTTGGCCAGGCCACCTCCACTTTGACTAGTTTTATATATTAATATTCAAAGACTGAAATACTGCCAACTGCAGCAGGTGGACGGCTCACTCCCCCAGAATCCCCTGTGGGTCCATGTAGCCTCCTGCTATTCCTGTCTTCTGCCTAAAGCCCATTGCTTTGGGTGGCCCCTGCCTCTAACTGCCCTTCTGGTCACCAAGTCTACAAACCCTCGCTCACACACCTTCTGTCACTCCCAACCTGGTGGCTTTAACTCCTTTAAACTCATTTGACACAGGGCCATAGGCTGCTCTGGGCACTGCTCGTGTTCATCCAGCACTAGTATTGGGGGGCAGACATTGTTAAGACATGGAGAGAGTTATTTTCCTTGTGTCTGCATAGGCCCTGAGGTGGGGCCACCTAGTGGCTGTGTCTTACATGTCCAGCAGAGGGTGCTCCTCTCACACAGATGACAGTTGTGGGGCCTTGCGGGTGTATGGGGGGGACTGGACAGACTTGTTTCTTTACTTTCTATTAACTTCTACCCAGAATGTCACCTCCTCTCTCTAAGTCCCTCCCTCCCCCAGGCTGAAATAAGTGAAGATGCCAACCATGCCACTGTCAGGAAAAGGGAGAATCTCATGGCTGCCCTCTGCCTCTTGAGCCCAGAGCTTTTGGTAGGAGCTGAATAGCGAGAACCTGGAGGGCAGGAGGCCTGGGAAGGGGTTATGACGCTGTCACCACCCCCTGGGGAGAGAGGGACTCAGAATAGTTCCTTTTCCCATAGCCCTAGAGCAAGAGAGTTTCCGGGTAGGAGGATGGGGGTGGGGAGTCCAATCCCAGGAAACAGATGGGCAGCCTCAGAGCACAAGGGAATGGCAACTCCACCACTTCCTCCCTGCCCACGCAGTGTGGGGGTGTGAGGAAAGGGCTGCCTGCTGGGTGGTGGCTCCACCCACCCCAGGCTTTTTTAGCCTGGGCCCTTGGGAGGGAGGACAGGCTCTGTCTGGAGCAGGCCTTGGCCCGCTCTTTCTCTGTCTGGGGTTGTAGCCCAACTGAGGCAGCCAGAGGGCACCCAACTGTGGAGGCCTCCCTGTCACTTACTGCCTTTCTTGTTTTAAGTGGGGATGAGTCCTCCTGCCCATCCCCCAGGTGTGGAGGGGAAAGGCAGATGACACAGTGACAGCAACTTGGCTCAGGGCTTGGCACGTGGAAGCACTTAACAGTGTGTGTTTCCTGTCTGGCACCCCTCCTCTGCACTATGTCACAGCCTTTGGGCCATCAACTGGCTTGAGGTATTGAGGTTGTTGAGATACCAACATGGAAAAAGCCGTTGAAACTACAGCCCCTTTTTGTATGTGAGGGTCCCTATGTCCTCATCCTGAAGATTGGCAGCTGGCTAAAGTTAGCTTTGCCTGTGGGCCTTGTGAGGTGTTGATAACCAGGAGTAGACCCTAGTTTGTTTGGTGGATACTTCCCTCCCTTCCCAGCACTCCTTTCGTCCAGTTTCTTCCCTGGGGTACTGAGCTTCCCAGTGCCCCTTTACAGCGGAGTCCAGGTCCCTTGGAGCAGCCCCCTCAGCTCTCTACTGGGTTGATCAGTCATGTGAAGAACGCTGTTCCCAGTTCTCTTAAGGACAACCAGCTTGTGAATAGATAGTGAGCATCTGAGTATATGGGGATGCGTGGCGGGGACATTCTGCATACATCCCTGGCATGCAGGCATATGCAGATGTCCTGGGAGAGCCGCTGGCCTCGAGGCTGTGCCATCACCCCATAGCAGGTCAGAGAGATGTGAGGGCCTTTAGCAAGTGGAATAAGCAGGCATGAGTGATGGACTTGCATAAACAATTGAGAGGAGTTCACCAGCAAAGCCCAGGCACCTTTTTGTGAGGCCAGCATAAGACAGCAGGGAGTGGGAGGAGAGGCTGAGCCAGACCTGGTAGCACACACCTGTAGTCCGAGTACTTGGGAGGTGGGGGCAGGAGGAACAGGAATTGTCCTCAGCTGCAGGAGACCCTGCCTCAAAAATAATAATAATAATAATAATAATAATAATAATAATAATGTCTAGAAATGGTAGCTCAGGTGGATGCCTAGCATGCAGAGAGTCTGGGATTCCGATCTCCAGCACCGTGTAAACCTAGAGTGGTGGTGCAAGCCTGTAACCCTAGCACAGAGGCAGGAAGACTGGAAGTTCACGATCCTCCTCAGCTACATATCTAGTTTAGACCAGTCTGGCCTATGTAAGACCCCGTCTCAATAGGTAAAAAAATAGGAAGGAAGAGGCATAGAGGTTTCCCCACCCCGGGACTCTGGGCCGGTTTACTGCTGTCTTTGTCTTCTTTCTTAGCCTTCATCATTTTATCCATGCAGTGGAGAGAAGGCAGGCTTGCAGGTGGTCTGTCCCGGGATCTTTTTTGACTCTGGTATTGGAAGATTCTAGACGCGAAAACAGAAGGGACTAGGACCCAAAGGCCATCTAGGAGAATGTTTTGTAACTCCATAACTATTATATATGTGGACAGCATTTTCATCCAGGTTGTCAGCTCAGTATTTACACCTTGTGGGCAAGTGTGGCCTGAACCAGGAAGAGAAGACAGCACCAGAGTTACTTTTCAGGGCAGGTGGCAGCAGGACTGAGGACAGAGGGAGGGAGTTGGTAAGTAACCATTGGGTTTACAGAAAAAGTAAACCCAATGTAAGTTTCTAGCATTTCCATCAGGACACCCTGGGCTGAAGATGAGGAAGGAGGGCTGTATGAAGTAGATTCTGCTTCTCCAATTAGTTTGTCGATATACAGAAAAATTTTAAGTGTTTATAGCCTTTATTTCACTCCTAGAATTGAATCCTATGGTTGCAAAAGTTCACTTATGTACAGGGATGCTCATTATAGCATTGTGGATGTTTTGAAAACAAACCCTGAGTCCAACAGTACAGAGTCTGGCGTACTCATGGTGCAGCCTCTCATTGGGTTACTCTAGTGGATGGGAGCAATGAAATGATCCCTTGCTACTAGTGTGGAGCATCCCAAAGATGGGAGGAGCAGAACAGGATTGGGCTATGGCCCACCTGTAACCTTAAATGGTTCTATGTACAGCCTGTTCCAGGAACAGAAATCATGGCTTTGTTTTAAAAAGTTAATAAGCAGTTATCTTGCAACCTTACCTTTGTTTCAAAAGGGTTGTTATGACTACCTTATTATGACTACCTGTTATTAGAGCCACCTGCAACCATACCTTTGTTTCAGGTCGTTAGGACTAACATATTATGATGTTCTGCTCCTGTAACCCCACCTGTTTTGCCCACCAAATCCTCCATTGGAAACCCCCCACCCCTGAGCTACAAAATCCTTGTCTTCCTCACATCTAACTCTGACATCTCAAACCCTGCCTTAGAGGGAGGCAGCCCAAGTACATGAATAAAAAAGCTTGCT